TGAAGTAGATCATAGAAACTCCGAACCAAATAACGTGCTGTACAGGGTGAGATGAAAAAACTGCAACCAACTTTAGACTGCTGTCATTTATAAGCCACTTGCCGACAGCTGTTAAAATTATTCCAGTGATAGCTTATTATATGATTTACAATCATACAAAAGCATTTTGGTGAGAATTTTCCCAAAAAAAAATTATTCGTGATGGAATTCAAACGTGATAGTGTGATTTCTTTCTGGAAAACCACAAGTGGCTATCGCTAGAGCACTCCAACATTTAAATGTTACTGGTAGCGTAGCCCGACGTCAAGGAAGTGGACGAAAGAAAATAGCAACATTAGCAGAAATGGTTCCGAGAAGTAAAGTAGCAACTTCATCGAAACCAGTGTTGAAGTGGCCGAAAAATGGTTCATGAGATGAACATATCGCAATATTCCATTCGGCAAATATTAAAAAATGAGCTCGGGTAAAGCCATTGAAATTCCAAAACGTGCAAGTGCTTCGCTTGGCCGAAAGTGGTGAACTGCCGAATTTGGTTTTCTCCGATGAAAATGTGCACCTTCGGTTGGTCACCAGAACTCAAGCGCCGGCCATGGCGATAGCGTGGGCCGCCATAACAGCCGATGGTCGCTCTCCGCTCGTATTAATCCACATTGGCATCAGAATAAATGCCGAATATTATGGCGAAAATATTCTGGAGGGTGCATTAAAGGCTTGGGACGCAAACATTTTGGCCCCAGACCTTGGACATTCCAACGGGACTCAGCACCATCGCACTCAGCACGCTTCGCCCAAGAAAGTTTGCAAAATGAGGTTCCTCGCTTCACTTCCAGCGCACAATGTCAACCAAAACCTCCAGATACCAATTCGTTAAAAATACCAAAGTGTCGATCACCTCAAGCAAGCGCTTCATCGTGAATGGGCCAAAATACCCCGGAGCAACATTCGGGCAGCATGTGGCGGTTTCATTGGTCGTTTAAAGGCCATAATTCGTGCCAAAGGTGACCAATTGGTAACAAAACAAAACTTATTGTAAAATTTGATGCTATTTCCGATATTTTATGCTTTCATTTTATAAAATTTAAAAAAAAATGTAAAAATTATGGCGTTTGACTTTGTTGCAGTTTTTTATCTCACCTTGTATAGTGTATGATATGACTTCCGTTAGGATTATATTAAAAAATTTTTGTTTGAGCAATATGAATACCGGATCAAGTTTCACCTATTTAATTTGGGTTGTAAAATCGGATGAAGATGTATATCGAAGTTATATAAAAATCTGAAAAGATTTCGATAAAATTTGGCATTGGTATCAAATAATATCGTTGTGGAGTGCATATTATACATGTGAGGGATTTTAACGCCAAATCGGATGAAACATATATATGGAAGCTATAGCTATATCTAAACCGATTTTCGCCAAATTTGAAGTACTTCGTCCTGAAATGAATTCAATCGGAATTGCCAAAATTTGGTTCACAATTTACCCGAAATCGGTTGAAGATTTACCGATCCTCACCAATTTCAATAAATTCAAAGGGAAAGGGTAATGGGTCTATCTCGTTTCCTTTTGCCTGTTACAAACAAATGCACAAGAACATAATACCCTTACCACGATGTGGTGTAGGGTATAAAAATCCGAACCTTCCTTAATAGATTAGCCAGACTCCATAAAGTAGTTCGACCTCTGGAATGCATATGTAGAAAAATCAATCAGCACACATTGGCCATGTAAATTAAATAGGCACTGCTTTGGTTGAGCCCTGTTGAAACTAGTCTCGAGTCCTTCTCCTGTTAGAATAATGAAGGCATAAATTTAAAACCAGTAAGGAAAGGTCAGAAGTGGGCGGGTCGACTATATGATACCCTACCCTACCCCACTATCAGTATTTAGTTGAGCTCCAGTAACAAAAGAATTGAAAAAGAATGAAGTAGATCATACCACCTATCAAAATTGGTCTTTAAATCAGCTATAGTTTGCTATAGAGTTCATGATACACTTCGAGAAGGATTATATTAAGAAAAATATATATCGGGGCCGAGTTACATAAAATGGAAACGAACGTCACTCCATATGGGCTGATATTAGTCAGGTCAGTTGGACTGATATCGGCCATTTGGCGCACTACTAACCCGAAATCGGTTAAAGATATATGGGAGCTATATTTAAATCTGATCTGATTATCATCAAATTCAATAGGGTTCGTCCTTGGGCCAAACAAATGTTGTTTGCATTTGGTACACAACAATACATGGATGGACGGACAGACGAATTGACATGCATAAATCGACTCAGAAAGTGATTCTATGAAGATCCTCAAAAGTAACTATGGGTCTATTCCGATTCCTCCTCCATGTTAGAATAGGAAGATTTTTATGTAGAAGGAAAAGTTACATTTGGAAACAATTAGTAAAATATCAATCATCACACATTGGGCTTGTGAATTCCATTGGCACTCCATTTATTTGAATTCTTCTCCTTTTAAAAAAAGATTTTCTGAGGTTTATATCCTCGAACTCGGTTTGCACTTCTTTATTCTCATATTTTGTGTATTTATTTCCAGGGACATCTACCACGACTCCGTTCAGCGCTATTGCTTCTCTGTTCTCACGTAGCTGCTGGTAAGCTTCGCCCTCTATAGAGTTAATCGCGCTTAGTTTGTTGGAAAGTCTGACGAAGGCAGTCTTTTTTTGGTGGTGTTCTTATCGTAACGCCGCTGAGTTTGAATAGTTTATTAAATCTATTCTCTTCAAGTGCGTTGTTATTGTTCATGCTTCACTGGATCCTAACTCAAAGCCGTTATATCAGATCGTTGTTAGTAACGTTTGTGGTCTCATGATTGTCTTTGCTTGCAGGGAGGCCATGCAAGTTTTGACGAAGAGTCCTTTTAAGTTTCGACGTTCAGAGCCAGATCCGTACAAACGAGGACATACTTACACCACCAACCTAATGGTAACGAATCTGAGAGCGTTCTTTGAGACTTCCCAAGTTTTAATAGGAAGGGGGTAGTTGCAGCATTTGCCCAGAAGCCGTTTCGGTTAGATTTCACTCCACTTACTATCGTCAGTCCAAGAGTCAATATGTTACGATAATGTGTTCCAGTATGCCATGATTAAGATTTTACTGGTCTCGATCTCAGTGTCCAAAAGGACGGAATATGAGAGTTGCTGCCGCCTCTACTGGTGTCAGACGCGGCTGGATTTATTTGCAAGCTAATTGCCTGCCAACTGGGGTCCGCTGGGTCGTTAAGCCCGTTTTCTCTAATGAATGTACCTTGTGGAGATAAAAAAAAAATTGAAAATTCGAGTGCATGTGCCTCGAATTTAATCGATCAAATTATTTCAAGTTACATTTGTACTTTTTGATATGCCCGTCACCCTTTTGGTACCAAAATTCAGTTCATTCTGGCAACTTTGTTTCGCTTTTACTATAACACAACACACATTCAACCATGTATGATATGAGTAGCACCAAAAATGAGCATCATTATAATAAAAATGATAAATGTTGACTTTTTCGACATACTTTAAAATTTTCAAAAACGTAATTAGGGCTATTTCTTGAAGCAAATAATACAAATTTCATTCACTGACAAGAAATGCATGTTTTAGAATAAAGAAGCCAAACCATTTCAGATGGCTTTAATTTGGTAAATATAATTTATGAGACGACCACAAGCAAAATTATAGTTTGATAAGGCAACATGTTAATACTGCATGAATGTGTATTTCTTTAAGCAAAAGTGTAAATTGTTTAATAAAAAAAAGGTTTAAAATATTATTAAATTTTTTTACTACTAGATACGCCTACGTCAACTATATGTGTGGACGCCAGTCGTACGTGGAATTCCTGAATAAAAAGTCCAAGCCCAGACTGTTTAACCTCTACCTCTCCGGAATTCCGTGCCCTCCAGACGGCACAGAGATCGTAACATACGCGGGTGACTGTACGATCATGGCGTCGGATCCTGTAGTTGATGACATATGTGTCAGGAACTTGCCGCCTTCTTCCTTGCGAGGAATATGAAAATATCCGCCACTAAATCGACGGCCACACTATGTACCACATTGACTGCGGAGATGAGAACACAGCTGAATGTGCAGGTCAAGGTGCACATAATTCCGACCACCAACTACCCAAAAATCCTTGGGGTCACATTCGATAGCATGTTCAAGTCTCCCGCGCAAGCCACAGCTATTTGCGATAAAATGAAAAGTAGGAACAAGGTCCTCAAGGCGCCAGCCGGCAGCACTTGGGGTGCGGATAAGGAAACCTTGTTGAGCTCTTATAAAGCGATAGGTCGGTCTGTGGTTAGCTATGCAGCTCCAGTGTGGCCGACGAATACGAGTGCTACGCAGAGGAGACGAAAGTTCTTCCCTTACGTCAGCATAATCATATGATTTCGTTGCAGTACCTGCTTGGGTGTTATCGTGGGAGTCACACTAACCACCATATGGTGGATAGAACTCCCCCACCCAGGCGTGTCAGGAAGGACCTGCATGATCTAGAGAGAGGTCCAGCGATGTAAGAGATCTTTACAAATTCAACTGAATTTATCCTGGAAGCATATAAATTTGGGGCATATAAACTTTGTCCTTTTTGTTTGAAACTCCTCAAAATATTCATTTTAGATCCCACAAAGTTTATATATTCTGGATTGGAGCAAAATTCTAAGTCGATTTATAGACCGGAATTGTTTCAAATTTCGTATTTAAAGTTTGTAATAGGTACTACAGCCTATGACAAAAAATTGCGTATGCATGCCCTCGTCTTCATATAGCTCCCATATAACGGTTTATCTATAAACTGTATTTTTCAACCAAATTTTCTTAAACAGTCAATTATCCAAATCTTCAGTTTCTACAAATAATTAGTCCTATTTTAAAAAGTTCCGTCAGAATGTCATACATAATTTGACTAAAAAGAGAAATGAAATTTTCAAATTTGTCAACTTCACGTGTGTGCATTTCATTCAGACATTTCTAAACAAAAGACACACACCGAAAACAAAAACTCTCCTCAAACTTCATGAATCCCAACAACAATTGAAAAACCTTCTAAAAATAAAGATTTCATTGCGTAGACATGTCTTTCTTCTAACAATAACAAAAAAAAATAGTCTAGAACGGCTCCGCTTGATTTGGGTCAGTTTATTTTTATAAACCAAAGAATTCCATATTCAAAGAATAGAATGAATCCTCGAATGAACGAGCGTACTTCAAGTGGATTTCCTGCCACCAGCAGCAACAACACTAACAACACATGTCTGTGGTAGGCCGGTCGGTCGGCCGCCTAGCTATGAATACCAGAACTTAACTACACGCCTGAATGAATATATTTGGCCCAACAGGCAGACAGACACTGAACATATGTTTTGGAAATTATATAAATATCGTAAGAAATTCAGTTCCATAATTTAGTACCGACAAAGACATAGCAACGCAAACATCACATTTTCGGCAAATTGAGGAGATTTTCTTTTCTTCTAAGCAAAAGGAAAAAAATCACAATTCTTATGATTTAGAAATATTCTTATATTCGAATATATGGAACTTGTTGAAAATCTAAAATTAAAAGGATTCTTAAGGATCATGACCACTATTAATAGGAGAACATCTATACCGCAATCAATGTCGAGAGGTGTGACGTAAGGTAAGTGAGGTGTATTTTGATACTTGGCAACTAGAGTTTTTAATTATTGTTTTGGAATTTTTGTTTCTATATCACGATTGAGATAATCTTTTCAGATTTGTCTAATATAACATGTTACATTTCATTTTCAGGAATAAATATAATAAAGTGAAAACATCTGCTATTTATGTAGACAACCTGGACCTGGAATAAATATTTTACATATTTTATATTAAGAAATATCTGAAATTCGTAACAAAGATAAAAATAAATACAACAAATATACCAAAATTGACGTAATATAACTAAGATACACAGATATACGGTAGAGATGGAGGAGGTGGTAAACTGTCTTTCTTTATTTCCGTAACTGCGTCGATTACATGGAAGCTGGATATGTATATTTTGACATGGAAGCCCTAAGTATTGGGCCAAGTTTCTGTGTTTTGACGTTAAAGGAAGGATTGGTCATTGCTCACACAATTGGCTATGACACACAGTGATCTCGAATTGGTGTTTTCTGGTTTTCTTCAATTTTTAAACCCTACCCATACATAGTATGGAGGGTATATTCAGTCTTTGGTATGTCTGCAGCAGTACACGCTATAGGCTGAATCGGTCCACGCTATCGTATAGTCCCCATATAACGGTAGTTTCCAATATTCGGTATTTTAATGATCAAAACCAAAATTTTAAATGGATTTGTCGAATTCTGCTCATGAAGTTAATTTCGCGTGCTTTAAAATTGGTCCCCGGCATAGGAAACTATATATGGATGTTCCTATCTCGCCGAGCTGAGTCGATCTAGCTATGTATGTTCGTCAGTCCATTCCATTCTGTCCATTTTAATTTGCAATCACGCTAAATGTCGCAGTTCAGGCCCGATCCTACGAAATTGAAAATGGAAGTGGGGTTAGGGTTAGAAGCTTAGCTTTCATGAATTTTATGTCAAAAATACGAAAATTTGAACTAAACTGCGAATATTTTTAATCCCGACCAAATCACAAATACATTAAACGGCCACATCTGGCCGTTACAGTAATGCTGATATCCATTACATTGGACGTATATATGTACAATCTATATATATAAAAAAAATATATCTTAGTTATTCTGATTATAATTCAAGAAACGCTGGACTAATTTTCAATTCTCATCAATTTGGAATGGTCTCTTGCCAGAAAAGAATACAATTTTAGAAAATCCCGTAAACATATGACAATAAACAAGTAAAACAAGTAAAGAAAGTCTTAAAGTCGTCGGGGCCGACTTTATGATACCCTACACCACTTTGTTAATTTAGTAGAGCTCCGCATAAAAATTAAAAGTTTTTATGGAAGAATTCAATCATACACGCTATGATTATAATTATAATTTAAAGTTCAAAGGACTAAATATGCCGAAGCATTTGTATCCTTTAAATTCGGACTTGTATTGTCCATTTGGTGCACAATTAATTTGAAATCGGATAAAGATCGATCTCTGAACCGATCTTGATAAAATTTGGCAAAGATATTTCTGAGCTGTATTTGGCATATTTCCGTGAATATAGTTGTTACGCAGTGCATATTACGGTTGTGGGTAACAAATATAACAAATCGGATGAACAGTAAATATGGGAGCTATATCCAAATCTGAACCCATATCTATAAAGTTTAGCAAATGTTTTTCTGAGCTGTATTTGATATATTTCATATTACGGCGCCGGAGGACAAAAATAAGAAATCGGATAAAACATATATATGGGAGCTATAGCTATATCTGAACCGATTTCTATCAAATTTGGCATACTTATTTTTTGGTTGTATGTGCAAATTGTCATACTGTTCGGGCTGATATAACACGTTTGATGCACAATAAAAGGCAAATCGGACGAAGATATCTGGGAGCTATATCTAAATTTTGACCAATTATCTCAATTCAATAGGGTTCGTCCTTGGGCCAAACAAATGATTTGTGCAAAATTTCATCTGGATCGGGCAATAAATGCGAACTGTACTTGGTTTACAAAAATACATGGGCAGACGGACATGCATAAATCGACTCAGCATGTGATTCTATGCAGATCATCAAAAGGAACTATGGGTCTATCTCGTTTCCTTTTGCCTGTTACAAACAAATGCACAAAGACATAATACCCTGACCACCTTAAGTTCGGCCGGGCTTGTTTCACTAAAACTTCATATACCAAAAAAGATACAGTGAGTGAGGCCATTACATTGGGCCATACCAAAACGGGAACCTCTATAGACAATTATGTACTTCAGGATTGTCATCCATCAAATCTTCTAAAGTATCAAATGTGAAACAATTATGTGGGTAAATGTGACTAGGATTATCCAAATACCGAATATCGGTGTGTATTGTTATTTGTGCGCTATAGGAAAACGTGGAACTAAACATTCAATGTTCTGCCACCGAGCTAGAACCCATTATGAACTACAAAAACCAAATTTTATCAAAATATGGAATATCGGCAGGTACTGTTATATGGGGGCTATACCAAAACGTGGATCTATATACATGTGTATATACATGTTTCACCACCGGATCTAGAACCCATTATACCTACAAATACCAAAATCCGTGAAAAAAAAATGTGGCAAAAATCATCAGAATACGGAATATCGGGAGGTACCGTTATATGGGGGTTATGTCAAAATGTGGATACCAACCATTCATACCAACCATCCTAGACACAATACAAATTGTTCTGCTAAATTTTGACGTTCTACGTCAAATAATGTGGGCTGTATCGTGATTTTAACAGATAGACGAACATAGTTAAATCGACTTATAATTTTATGCTGATTATTGATATGTGGTCTACGATGAATTTTAGGGATGTTACAAACGGAATGACAAAGTTAATATCCCTCCTTTCCAAGGTGGACGGTATAAAATGGTGGTGGGTACTAAAGTTCCTCCCACAGAACTTAAATGCTTTTTATTTGTTATTTCATCACTTAAGGGGTTCAAGATCAAAATTGGTTTTTTTTTTTTTCTTAAAATGTTATTTAAAGACGATATATGTCGATAACAAAACTATTTTCTGTACTTGGGAGGTACTGTTATGTGGGGAACGTATCATAAATTAGAAAATCTAAAACCTATTGGTATCTAGCTATGCTGTAATGACAAAATGATGTGATGACACCTTTCGTTTTTCACCCACTAAAAAATATTTGTTGGAAACGTGAACTTGTGGTGTAGCGTTATGTCAGGGCTAAATACTTACCGATATTAGATATTTGTTTATATATCTTCTCCAAAAAAAAAGCAAAATACAAATTTTCAGACAAATCGAATGAACATTCTCCAAATTATTAAAATCTGGGACACCTTCATATGGCGAATGTGTATAACTTTGATTGGGTCAAAAATTATGTTACGCCTCGAAATATTGGTCCAAGACATAGAAAACTAACTGTGGATCTTTCTATCTCGCCGAGCTACAGGTCGCATTTATGGCCCGATCCTCACGAAATTTTGGATGAAGGTGGAATTAGGATCAGTATAGAAGCCTATTCTTGGGGGGAGATAATCGCAAAATATGCAAGGGTTAAAATAGAACAAAAACAGAAAAAGTTCTTGATTTTTTAGTTGCTCACAGTTATAGACCAATCGACTGGAAATTTCACATGGAGCTAGAGGTTAGGGTTGGGTAGAAAAATACCGATTTAGATGGTCATCGGATTATATTTAGCGGCTGAAATAGACCATAACTTTTATATTAAACATGTAAAACACTGTAAGTTAGGCCTGGCCGAACTTTGAACACCCTCCAACATTTCGAACGAGTTTGGCATATTTCAAAAAAATGAAATTTGTTATAATCTTAAAAATACCGAATGTAGCCATTATAATAGGGTCTAAACGACGACGTGGACCTGCATAGGCAACTTTTGTCATAAACCATTACAATATTCAAATGTGAAACTTGAAAAAAAATCGGTAAATAATGTACCTAAAATCATCAAAATACCGAATATCGGAAGGTACCGTTATATGGGGGCTATACAAAAACGTGGACCTGCACAGACAATTTTCTGTTATTGGCTGTAGTGCCATTTTTCTGTTATAGGCTGAAGAATCTATTTCGAACTTCAAATACCAAATTTGAAACAATTCCGGTGAATAATGCCGCTAAAATCTTCAAAATACGGAATATCGGGAGGTTTCATTATATTGGGGCTATACGAAGCCGTGGACCTACGCTGACAATTTTCTGTCATAGGCTGTAGAACCCATTCAAATACCAAATTCGAAATATGTCCGGAAAATAATGATGCTTAAATCACCAAAATAGACAAAATAAGGAAGTGCCAATATATGGGGGCTATACCAAAACGTGGACCTACATGTCCCATTTTCAATACCAAAAGTCCTACATAATATACATTTGAGTAAAATTCTGTCAACCTACTTCATTTCGTTTGGAAGCTAAAGTGATTTCCACAGATGGATAGACGGACGGAAATCGCTAAATCAACATAGAATTTTAAGCTGATCAAGAATATATACTTTGGTCTAAATGTATATTTTTGGTCTAAAATGTATATTTCGACATGTTACAAACTGAATGACAAGCTTAACATACCCTACATATTATGGTGCAGGGTATAAAAATACGAAAGTTTCCATTAAACCGCAAATATTTCCAATTCCAGCGAAATCCATGAAAAAGTCACATCTGACCACCACATTGATGCTGTTATCTAAGATATCACATAAATAGCAAAGAATATACAATATCTTTAATCAACGGAGGAGATGTTAGTTAGACTGCTTGTAGTTCAAGAACGGCTAGACGGATTTTGACAATTCTCACCGATTCAGAATGGCCTTTTAGCAGATAAGAATAAAATCGCAAAATATGAATATTTTTCTGTAATATTTGGTCATATTTTTATCGCATAAGATTTCATCAATTTAACTTACAATTTTAAGTTGCACAAATGCAAATTTCATCTCAATCGGACAATAAATTCTACCAGTATCTTACTTACAAAAACATAAGGACACACTAAGGTTCTATCGTGTTTCACAACGTTATTGAAACACACAAATATTTTGGACTCTAAATTGTGCACTTTAATACAGAAATTGGTGGAAAACATGTTGATTAAGAACAACTGAGAATATTGCTGCTTTAGACCAAAGTGTTGAAGAAAACCTGGTAATATATCTTCGCAGGCAATGTTAAAACTGGAAATGAAATGGTTTCTTCTAATGATGGAAGGTACAAAACTACAATATATGTTTAGTGGAGCAGCAAAATGTTATGTGAATTCAATATTATTTTGCACTCATTACATAAATATGTTAATTTCAAATTATACTTGAAAGGTTCTCCATATTTGTAAGTTTAACTCTTAGTATATCCATTCAGGTTCTTAATAATTAAATTCTTTAATCATCAAAGGAATTTAACCCTAAAAGGCATCTTCTTTACCAAAAAATGTGTTCTCATTATAATCGGAGCATAAAAATAAAAAATAAACATAGTTATTGTAAGTTTCACATTTTATTTAATTCAAAAAGTTTATAAATAAATTTCAAAGAGATTATTTCGGTATTAAGAATAGGATTTGCAGTACCATCTCTATCACATATGCATCCAATGTTGATTGCCATCTTAGGACCACAACGCGGAATTAGACCCAATGGGTGGTTGATTATAGTTGAAATAAATTTCTAAAAAGAGCAAGAAAATAAATAGAGATAAGTAAAAATGTGAATTTGTAAAATTGTTTAATTCAAATAAATAAGGGGGAAAACAAATAAAATTAGAGAAAAAACGTAAACATTTAAAAGTCCAAATGTGAATCGCTGTATTAACTCCCTTAAAATACGAGGTTCAAACACCTCGCTTTTACTAGGTATTTGGCTGATTGAACCTATTTTTTCTAAATTCGAAAAAATGGCAGAGTTATTCGAAAAAATCACAAGTTTCGGATTTAAGAAATTCGCATTCGTACAAATTACACTTTTTTTCAATATTTATCGAGTAAATTCTTATACATGGACGGCAAATTTGACTAGGATTCGCATATCGATTTATATTTTTTTTTATAAAAACTACATCAAATTTAAAACAAAACATCTGATAATGAGAAAAATTAAAAGTTTCAAGTTGGCACAACTCGAGCACAACAAATTAGGTTGTTTCGAAACTCCAAAATCACAATTCCGAAATTTTTCGAAACGGAAAAGAAATGTCGAATGCACTAATATGTACAATTCAGCACAACATTAATTATTTCGCAATTCTCTCAGATATTTTCGTTTTAAGTTACCCTCCACCATACAATGAGTTATATATTAAATATGTCATCCCGTTTGCAACCAAATTAGCTGATAATATGTGTTTCGCTAGTTGCATAAAGTTCTTTAATTGATACGGATTGATATTCTAAGTTAATCGGTCTGATATGTCAAAAATTAATTGGCGCGTAATTAACCCGTAATCGTTTGAAGATATATATGGGAGCCATATCCTAATCTTAACCGATCTTGACAAAATTTGGCAGAGCTATTTATCGGCTGTATCTGATACCGAATATTATTCTTGTCGAATGCATATTACGAACGTGAGGGACTTAAACACCAACTCAGGTGAAAAATATATTGGAGCTATAACTACATGTTCACTAAATTTGACGTACTTGCTTCTAGACTGAATTCGCTCGGATGTGCCAAAGTTCAGGTTATTTGGACTTATATTGGCCTTTGGTGCACAAATAACCCGAAATCGGTTGAATATATATGGGAGCTATAACTTAATCTGATCCGAAAATCACCAATTTCAATAGAGTTCGTCCTTGGACCAAACAAACATTGTTTGCAAAATTTCATCTCAATCGGACAATAAATGTGACCTGCATTTTGTTCACAAGAATACATGGACGGACGGACTGACTATAAATCGGCTCAGAAAGTGATTCTATGAAGATCCTCAAAAGTAACTATTGGTCTATCTCGCTTCCTTCTCCATGTAACAAACAAATGCACAAAGACATAATACGCTTACCGCAATGTGGTGTACAGTATAATTATTCTTGCAGTTCTGGAGCAGATAATTGATGTACATGGCATGGCGGGATTATCAAGGTTACCTAGTGCAATCATATATTCATGATTATTATTATACCTTTGACAACATTTCATTGTCAAAATGAATATTCAGAATTCCATTGTATACACACAAATCAGAGATGAAACTGTTTTCTTTGGAGTTAAATTTGAATAGGTAAATAATATAAAATGCAAAGCTGGATAACCTTCTTTGAAATGTAGCTACTTTGAAGGAATTGCTCCAAATTGTCTAAAAAAATATCTCACATTTTATATAGCACACGATATGAAAGAAAATTCCGGATTTGTGTACCTTTGCACTATACATCTCGTTGTCCTTAATATTATCTTCAGGTTTTCTTTTATTTCTTGTGTTCTTTTTATAAAAAATGAAAAAATTTTTGCTATATTTCTAGAAATTATAAAGCTTACCTTATTTCCGATCCATTGAAATTCTCAATTGATCTTGTCGGTCATCTGATCGCCGATTCCAATTGTATTTGTTGTTTCTTTTACTGTTTTCAACAAATGAAAACAACAATAGAATTATCGCAAACAATGCTTTTCAAATCCAATGGTTTATCAAAATTCCGCTCTATTATTAACCGAACCACCGCTCGCTCGCTTCAGTGTCGACCTCAATACTGAGTCTATTTAAAGAGAATTTATTCATTTTATACAACATTGTCTCCGCTGAATGTACGTACGAACATACATACATACGTACACATGGACCACTGAAAGAATTGTTTTGTCCGTCCCACGTTGAGGGAGTATGGTTTCGATGTAGCCAACATGTGTTAATGTTATCCTCTTCAAGAAGATTAAAAAACACATGCTTCCCGATCGCATTTTATTCCAAACATTTTAAAAATGCACTCGAATGCATTACAGGAATAAGAAGAAAAAGAACTGATATACAAAAGAGTGTCGGAGCCTCATGGAAACGAGGCATCTCATCAAAATGTTGATTATTTTTAGAAATAATTGTTTTTGTTCGCTCGCGATGAATCTCAGTTGAACGAAAGATGGAAAAAATAAAAAAACACAAAAATCTGGAGAGATATTTGTTGAGGAAAGAGATAAAGGAAAGGAGGAATTCCAAAAATGTACAGTGGTGCAAAAAGTTAGGGGATGTTTGGTGAGGGACAAAAACTGTCAAGGGACGATCATTGAAATATTGGAATAGGGTTGTTGTTAGCAACTGTAGGTATTTAGTGGTGTAGAATTCGGATAATTAAACATTTTTCAAAACACTTCAAAGATACTAGTTGTTGTGTCACTCATTTAGAAAGCAGAAAGATGTAAAACATAAGAAAATTGTCTATTGTCTATGTCTATTATTGAAATAGTTTAATAAACTAAATTGGGATATAATAGGATCGCAAAATGCGATAATCCGTTTGGGTTTTGTTCAGACCCCAATATACCGGTACCAACAGATTTGAGATATTTCAAAAATGTTGACCACATTTCGAACTGACTTTCTCTATAATGTACTACATGGGGTTTGCATTAAGTACTTAACGGTGCCGACAGATTTTTGGTGTTGACGAAAATTCGCTGTGATTCGCTTGTGTGGCTGGAAAACCACAAGTGGCTATCGTTAGAGCACTCCAGCATTTAAATGTGAATAAATCTTTTCTGTCTCGTACCATCGCTCGTTACCGTGATACTGGTAGCGTAGCCCAACGTCAAGGAAGTGGACGGAAGGAAACAGCAGCATCAGCAGAAATGGTTGGAAAAGTAAAGAAGCGGCTTGATCGAAACCCGCGTCGCAGTGAGCTAAACATATCGCAATATTCCATTTGGCAAATATTGAGAAATGAGCTCGGGGTAAGGCCACTGAAATTCTAAAAAAGTGTAAGAACTTACACCGCAATAGAAAGAAAATGTACTCAAAAGAGCCAAAGAGTTGCTTCGCTTAACCAAAAGTGGTAAACTGCCGAATTTGGTTTTCCCTGATGATAAAACATTCCTTGTCTAGCACTTTGTAAATAAACAAAATGATTCCATTTACTTGGCAAAGAGGTCAGCTGAAAATGTGCACCTTCGGTTGGCCACCACAACTCAAGCGCCGGCCATGGTGATGGTGTGGGCCGCCATAACAGCCGATGGTCGCTTTCCGCTCGTATTAATCAACCGTGGCATCAGAATAAATGCCGAATATTATCGCGAAAATATTCCAGACCTTGGACATTCCAACAGGACTCAGCATGCGCCACCCAAGAATGGTTGAGTTTCCTCGCTTCATTTCCAGCGCACAATGGCCACCAAAATCTCCGGATGCCAATCCATTGGACTATGTGTCTGGAGCATTTTGAAAAGCTAGGTCGGCACTAAAAAATACCAAAATGTCAATCACCTCAAGCAAGCGCTTCGCCGGGAATGGGCCAAAATACCACAGAGCAACAATCGGGCAGCGTGTGACGGTTTCATTGGTGGTTTGAAGTTGACCAATTCGAACAAATCTGAACTTATTCTAAAATTTGATGCTCTTTCCGACATATTTTGCTTTCATTCAATAAATTAAAAAAATGTAAAAATTATGGCGTTTGACTTTGTTGCGGTTTTTTATCTCACCATGTATAATTTAGTATTTGGGGTTCCCATTGAATATGTCCACGTTTTACCAAAGCATCAATGGAAGAGCACCCCCATATTTCAGGAATTGTGACGGAATTGGCTATAGTTTGGTATTGCATTTTACCGAAATCCGAAATCGAATTAGGTTTTGGTTTAGCTCCATATAATGATTTGTATTAATAAATTTCTATATATCCGTCCTCCATAAATATTTAGTTCGATACAGGTTCAATACAGAAATTTAAAAAAAAATCTAACATTTACTTTTCAATTTTATGCAAATAATTGTTAATCTAAATTTTCGCCTTTTGTGAGGAGAAGGAGTGGACCGATGTATCCCATCTTTACACCAGATCTTGTCTTAATAAAAATACTGAGATGCGTAAAATTTGAAGGCCATCATACTTCACATTTTATAAAAATAAATTTTGACCCTTTTATGGGGGAGGTTTCTTGTGTTTATAGAGATATTGAAATGTGCCGAACTTGAAAGAAATCTAATGCTTATTTCAAAATTTTGAGCCGTTGTGGAGAACTAGCAGAAAAAGTAAACCGATGTATCTCAACTTGACACAAGATCTAGTGTTTATAAAAATATTGGAATGTTTGAAATTTGAAGCCAATCGATCTCTTATTTCGCGTTTTATGAGATTTATAATTATTCCAAATTTCGACTTGATGCAATGGGGGGAGGTACTTGATGCAATGGGTCTATATTGTCCATTTTGTCCCCTGAAAATATTGGGATTTGCAAAGTTTGCTTAAAATCGGGCGATGCTTTCTGAGAGGTAAATTATTTCCTTTGAAAATTTTGAATTATTTTTTTTTTTTTTTTTTTTTTTTGGGGGGGGTTGATTAAGTATAACAAGGAGTGCCATCCCCGAACTTTATTCAAGTTTGACAATAATATTACGATGTACTACGTTTAGACAAGATCGGATACTACCTTCGAGAGTTATCGTCAGACAGACAGACATACGGACAGACACGCCACGTTTTGGCCGTATCAAATGGTATATACCCTCTGTAGCCTTATGGCTGAGGGTATAAAAACGAGATTATTTCGGTCGGAATGAACTTTTAATACCCTGCACGAAAACCTTTAAAAATTAAAATAATTGGTTAGCATAGAACACAAACCGCATTACAAACACTACATACTGAATTTTGAACGATTCCCCAAAAAATCTGTCTAAAATCATCTGAATACAGAATATCGGAAATATGGGTGCCTATAGGAAAACATGAACCTATATAAACAATGATCTGCAACAAAAAGTAGTACCTAATACGAACGCTATGTACCGAATTTTGAACAAATGTGGCCTAAATCGTCCAAATGCCGAACATCGGGAGTTACGGGTATATGGCCTGCCTACAGACAAAATACATATGTGTTCAAAATTTTCATTCGAAAGTTAGCGTGGTTGTAACAGGCATACATTACTAATCGACTTATAATTTTACGATGATCAAGAATATATATACTTAGTAGGACCTAACATGAGTACTTCAAGGAGTTACAAACGGAGTGACAAGGATAAGTACGGTGGAGGGTATAAAATGTAAGGAATCAATAGGTGAACGAGTTCCATTTTATATCTTGAAAGTACTAAAAAAACTTAACCGAAACGTAAAACTAAGTATACAATTTTCTGCTGTAGAAGTTGGTATCTATTGCGAGTTCCAAATGCCATATTTTTAACAATTTCGTCGAAAATAAGCATCGTCAATCTTATTGAGGAGGTATACAGATAATTATCTTGCAAACAAATTGGAACGAGTGCAGTCTACCAAGCCTATTAATGTTCTTTCAAATTTATTAAAATTTTGGAAGGATGATCCGAAAAATTATTCATTTTAAATTTAAAGATCGAATGTTGTAGTTTTTGCGATCCCCCTTGTTTTACAGAAAACTATATTAATTTTTTATGAGGTAGGGGAACCGCATTTCAAAACAGTGTCTATATAGAACCATTCGTTGAAATTGCCCAAACATACACGTACTTTCTTAAAATGTCTTCCATTGGATTTTTCTCTTTTCAGCCACTGGTATCCTGATTTATTCCTTTGACAAAATAATTATTCATTTCAGATAGAGAACATTAAAATAACTTTCTTTATATATTTGTTTTTAATCAGCATTAGCCACAGTAAAAGTAATTGTTGGATTAATCGTTGATATTTTCTTTGGTCTACTGTCCAAGCAATGACATTCATAGCCAATGCAAATTACGAATTCCACACCAAAAACACAACATAATTTGAAGATAGCAGCAATCGTTTCTTTGGAATGCAACCAAACTCCGTGTTACAAAATGTGCTCATGAACTGCTGATAACGACAAAATAAATGTGATAATTAGTTTTGTTGTTGCAGATTCTCTCTCATTATTCTGCACTCAGCTATGTCGATTGATATGAGATGAGTAACACACAAACATATGTATAGAGAAATAGGGGTGTTCACGAAGTTAATGTTATGAAATTTGTCAATTAGGGTCAATTAAATGGACAATCGAACATAGAGGGACAATTATATTCTACAACAAGAATAGAGGTAAATCCTTCTAATTAAATTCAGATACGAAAATAAAAAAAATGATGATAAAAAATATTTCCTCGAAATCATGAAATGGAATCATGTGATCCGATAAAGGTACAGTCTTGTAATATGGCCAGTTTTGAGAAGAAGGATTGATATTAGGAGGTGGTTTTGAAAACGTGTGCTTAGTGTTAGATATGTACTAAATAGTACTTAATTTGAAACAATTTGGTTTTGGGTGAACAGATGGTGCTGAAATTACGAAATGTTGCTATTAGGCCACTGAAGGAAGATAGAATACAAATAAAGTTTTGGAAATGCGAACTACAAGTATACGAAAAGTACTTAATGGTATAATATAAAATTTGGTATGGCGATAAGGGCAAGTGTTTGAAATCTTCAATTTGCCATTTGCTCACTGTTGGTGTGTAGGCTCGAAATTTGGAGGTTTTGGAAATACGTTATAAAAAAGAACGAATGTTAATAAATGTTGGGTTGATATATGGAGATGGATTTGAAAATGTGTACAAAAAATTGCTAAAGGTTATTAAGGGAAGGGATAAAGCTGAAGATCTGTAATATTTCATGAAAGTAGCACTGATGTTGTGTAGAAAA